CAACAGAAGTCAGAGTACAGTAGGCTTGACATTCTGAATACAAATAAGCATAAACTCACTTGTAAATATTACCAACTAAGAGTAGCCCATCTGTTTTTGACTTTGCACTGTACCAACAAGTGAAAACATATCTCTGTCTACCGTAATTTATAAAATATTGAACCAAACACAAAAGCAGGATGTAAAATTTGATGAAATTCCATCCATGAAATAACCAAGTATGCACTTACAAGTGATGCTGGGCAGGTCAAGAGTGAGATCACAGACCAGAAACCACATTTGCTTCGCCACACTTCTGCAATGCACAGAGTTAATGAGGTTGTTAATGCTGCTTATAATGTTGTCCCACTGTTTCCGAAGACATTCTGGCCGACAGAATCACGTTGTTGGACACGTCCATCCAGAGCATCGTGTGGCAGATTGTCGTACCATGCTGTGTGAAGTGATTTCTTAGACAAAAAACAGGTGACGTTATGGATGTTCAAGTACAGTTCTGACACGCCAGCATCCAGCAGGCCAACAGCCTGTTCTCATCTTTCTCTTGACATCTGTGGCATCGTGTCATTTGAGTAAAGCTGACTATTGAGATGGTTTTTCATAGTCACTGGTTAAAAGAGGGTCTCTGCGTACTGATCACACCATCTGATCAATTTCCTTTACAGCCATACCTAAATAGGTTTAACTCAGTGTTTGGGAATTTGTCACCACAAAAACATGTTGCACACAATTGGCTAAATAACTAGAAAAACAGAAATTGGATCTATTGCTCCTTTTTCTCTTAAGAAAAAAAAAAAAGACCATTTGCGCGCTTTGTTTGTAATTTTGTTAAGTGTATGCCTTCTTCTTAATTAGCCCTTCCAGGAGAATGAAAATAAACTTAGCTTCTCATGGCTGCCGAAGAGGCAATACAGGAGGCTTACACGCATCAATGTCAACCTTTAAAATGCAAAAAGGAAATCTGTTTCCAATTTTCTGCACGATTACTTTACATGTTTTCCTTTTCTTAAATTAATGCCGTGCAACATGGATGAAAATGGGTGGAAATTAAGTCGAGAAAAGGTTGGGAGGATTCTGCTATGAACATTTAGTCACACACACAAGGAACAATTCTCCAGCCATGATCCATAATCCTGGAATATTTGAGAGTGAAATAAAGAGTTTGTTACACTGCCAGCAGGAATTTGAAGCAAATGTGCAGCTCTGGTTAGAGGGTGAAGCCTGTAGCAGAGACGACCATGGGGACTGTGTTACAGCTAAAAAAAAAAAAAAAGCAATATACTATGATATGAACCATGACCTGGACCAGGCTACGGTATAAAGGAAATGATCAACTTATGCCTCAAAAAATTTTCCCTTTGATACTCAAGATGCACTTCGCTGCACAGTGTCAGTACTTTTAAGGAAACCAGGCTTCTTTCAAAATGTACCTGCTTGACTTCCAGAGTCCAGAATCTCTATAATGTCAGAGTTTGGACCAAAACTGTGGAAATCTTTACTCTATTGACAAATGGGTGAAGTAATTAAGACTTGAACCTGCTCATTGTTGAACCGCAAGGAAGACAAGTGGTGTTTGCTCAGGTATGTGATGACTGGCTTTCCCTCACAGGGGGATGAGATCCAGATGTGCAGTGTGTCTGCTGCTTCAGTGAAAGAGGGCACTCCAGCTCTCACGTGTGGGTACGTTATGTCTCACACACACTCCAAAAGTCTAATAATCAGCTTCTCTGAAACTGTAGCGAATGCCAAAACAAGCCAGCAGATAGGAAGGAATCTGACAGTGCCTCCTCCAGCAATCGTGGGAGATTTGTTTTTCAAAAATAAACTGCCACACACCAGGAACTGGAATCCAGCTGTTTTGACTGGGATTTAATATACACAGACATCTCTGCATAGCTACTGAGATCTGTTTTTATCAAGCCTGATGGAATACCTAATCAAAACTTGGATGCTGGCTGCCTTTGATTTTTCTGTAGTAAGTATAGACGTGCCATGCTTTTCCGATGTAATGTAGGTTTTGTATTCATGAGCTGTATAAAGGATTGGTTTTTAATGCATCGCTGGTATTTACTAAAATTGCGACCTTAGAGTTAATGCATACTCAACTCTGACATGCAGCTGTGACAGGTAGACAATAGACAATGAACAACATACTGCATGATAGTACCATATGAACGGTGAAAGATAATGAAAGGTCATTTCGAGCTGATAAAGGCCATCTTGATGAGAGCGACCTGGAGTCCAGGAAAGATAAAGGTCAGGCCATGTCACTAATGGGAAGCGCTTTCATTTCTTGAGTGTAAAGGAGCACAAATGGCTTCAAACAAAATATGCAACTTTTGGAAATCAAACTAATCTTCCGTTAAATTTGACAGAATGCAGGTAAAGCAGTAAATCATACCTCAGTGTCATTCTGGTTATTTTGTAAATGCTGTAGAGAAAGCGCAGCCAAAACAGTGAAAACATTTCTACCATTTTCATATCTCCAAGATCTCTGAGATTAAAAAAGTAGATCTTGTGTTGAATCATTTCAAGGGTAATTTCATGCATGAAGAATAAAACTCTACAGTTGCCATGTTTTTTTTTTACTCTTCTAAGAAATACTCCGCCCAAAACTCTTGTGCTATGTTGTAATTCTGATTAAACCAATGTATTCACTTGTATTTTTCAAAAAAAACAAAACACTGACCGTATGGAGCATATTGAAGAGACAGATGGACAAAAAAAAAAAATGGATTATGACACCAGAAGGGTTGGATATTTTCTTTAGGAATCCAAGCAACCTGTTGAACTCCACTGATGAGGAAAACCACACTTGTTACAACTAATCATCATTTTTTCCTGGAGATTTTACAGCATCCTTTTAACCCTACAGAGGAAGAACCCGAATATATTTACAAATCTTAAATACCCCAGGTGTCAGAGGTTTATTAATGCAAGAACAAAGCCAGAAAGACACACAAAAGTAGCTAAATACCAAATTTGATGAAGCCTTTTTCAGAGTAGCAGATCAAACTCCTCTAATGCTACAGCAGCAGCTCTGCTCGGTCATAGCCGCCATTAGACTCCGTTCTAGTTCTTGGTATGCATACATTATGCTTGCTTTTTTGACCTTGCCTTTTCACATTATGAAAATCCAAACACCATATTGTAAGGATGTTTTGGTTCTCATGGGACCACACAAAAGGAGAACAAAGAATGTTTACCTTTAGCTTTTTGGATCAGCAGAGATTTAACATATTGTCGATGACCACAGAGGAAAGAATGCATCAGAGTTTTGTCATTTATCACCAGAGCACTAACAACCGTGCAGCTTAATGGCGTAATTATTTTAGCAAAATGGTCACCACATGTTTAAAAGTGTGGCTGCATTGATTCCAAGGAATTAGTCATCCTTCAATGAACGTCCTGTAGTCTGTAAACAAATAATCATGCATACATACATAGTCTGAGAGCGACATGGGAGTATAAGATGAATTGACAGGCATGTTTCTTCAACTGTTCCCTAATGCTTTAAGTGTGTAAACCATTTAACGTGGTAATGATGAACATAAGTTCTTGGTGTTTGGATCTGTGCTGCAAAGACTTTAGGTGGCACGAACAGTCAGAAAAAAGTGTCTCCTGTTATAAAATGTTGTTTCAAGCCTAATTATACTCCCTTGAAATGCACACACATGAACAAATACATCTCTTTATCTCAGATAAGGGATGAATTCTGCACTATCCTTGAATCAAGCGTCATACCCTTGGTGAAAAGGTGTAAGATGAAACAAATAACAAGGTTTTAATAGTCAGATTTAATTTGTGATGAAACAGTGACACCTGCAGGGGAAGTTTTCACAATAACAAACGTTCAGCCAACCAACCTGTGGTCAATTTAAAAACTGAAAATAAGATATAAATGAATGAAGTCTAACCATATTGAGAACTGATGCAACAACAAATACCAGAGAAGTGACGCTGCAAAGGAAGCTGAACATTCCTAACGATACCAGTAAGTTTGACTTCATGTAGGAAAGAAAAGGATTTATTTAACCATTTCTTATCATCATACGTACCCGTGCTTATGAAAAGAAAAGAAAGGCGCTAAAGCAAACAAAATGAAAAAAAAAAAAGGGAGGAACAACAGAATACATAGTACAACCTCCTCATGTGACACATGGTCAAATATAACACATATCCATGGCTTAAATTGGTAGAAACTGGTGTTGGTCAGTCTGTCAGCAAATCAAACAAGTAAGGACAAAAAAACACTCAGAAAACTGCCAGGTGTCATTTCATTCCACAGCCAGCTGCAGTGGGTTGCCATCAACCCACCGACCTCCCAAGTGTTTCTTGTTCTCTTGCATTGTTTGTCTGTTTTCTATGTGCTATTCTCTCTCCCCTCACCCTCACCCCAACTGGTCGGGACAGATGGCCAGCTTCCCTGAGCCTTGGTCTGCTGGATGTTTCTTCATAGTAACATGGAGGTTTTTTTTTTCTTCCCATTGTTGCCAAATGTTTGCTCAAAGAGAATCCAAGGGAATGTTTGGATTTTCTCTGTATAATTCAGTAAGATCTTAACCTTATTTTAAGTGTGATGAGATGACACATGTTGTGAACTGGTGCTATATAAATAAATGTAATTGAATTCAACTGATTTAAATTTATGATGGTAAAATTTGATGCTATGATAAGAAAATTATGGTAATATGTTATGTTGGCTGTAAACATCACAGCCAACCACAAACAATAAGGTTTAGCAGGATTTTTATTGCAGCTTTTATTTGTGTAAATGCAGTTCTTGATGCCAGAGGTATTCTTTTGCATGGCGATGTTGCAGGACTTTTATGTGTGACTTTTAACATTTCAAATCTGTGTTTCAAAAGCTCAGTGAAGCTCATTGCAGATGTTCTGAAGATATACTACCTGGTGGAGCTGTCACATATTTATTGGGCTTGTAAAGCAGTGCATTACTCAGAATCCAAATGCATAAACTGTCTTAGTCAGTAAAACTGTTGCACAGCTACAAAATGGTCATGCTATACCTCTGAAGGCAGCTCAGGTCATAGCTGATCGTGCAGCACTGAGCCAGTCAGGTTATTTTGGTTTTTGTAGTGTGGAGGAAAGCCTAGGGACCACAGACATCAGGGACTAGAGCGAACCAACAGGAAGTCATTGTTGATTTGGCCAATCACATCCAGCGCAGTCCAGCAGGACAGAATCCACAGAGAGGACTCTTCCCACTAGCATCCACTCTGCCTGTAGCTGCGTTAGCTCTGTCATTAAGTTCACCTTGTTGACCAGCCCTTTCACGGGCTGCTGGACGCACAACAACAGTGGAGAGCTGTCATTTTCACTCCGACACGGACGAGTAGAGCAGCGAGTGAACTAAGGAGCATTTCGGGTGGGAGACACCGGTGGAGATGTGTAATAAGCTGCACTGGACAGCAAGGACCTACCTGGCTGCCAGTCCATCGACTGACAGCTGTCACCTAGCTGCTTAGCTAACTAGCTAGCTAGGTGAGCTAACGGCTAACAAGTGTTTTTTCTCGCAGCCCGGCTAACTGAGCCAGCCAGTGCGGATCTCGGTTCAGAGAGGAAAACGGCGACTTCTCAGCAGCATTTGACTCCGCCTGCTGTTCAAACCATGAGTTAGCCGAGCAGCGTCGGGCAGCAGTGTTTGTAATATTTTGAGGTCCAGCTAGTGTAGCTAGCTTTTTAGCTCGAAGCTAGCTAGCTCACTCAATTATTGAAAAACTGCTGAAGCGTTAACACCTCAGCGAACAGGGACCGATTATACCCGACCACGATCGCGGTTACGACGCGGACACATTGTGGACTCGGTTGGATAAAATCTCGGGGAAATGAAGAAATTTTTTGACTCTCGTCGGGAGTTCGTGGGCTCCGGGCCTGGTTCTGGAGCCGGTGGAGGAGGCGCTGGTTCTGGCGGCGGTGGCAGCTTCATCGGACGGGTCTTCAGCATCGGACGATATCAAGTGACCGTGGAGGAAATCGTCGCCGAAGGTGAACTACGTGGCTTTCCCCTGCGTGGATTACACACATGTCACACAGACACTTTTATAATCCACAGTCTCAGCTGCTCCACATTGTTGTGAGGGTGCACAGGCAGGTAACTTGAGTTGGCCTGTTTTGTTTTTGCTCCAGGTGGAGTAACATTAGCAGCGTAATGACACGCTATCACCTTTATTATATGTTATTGAGGAGAACTGCTCAGTTATTGGCAGCAGACTGTAACAGTTAAAGGATCAGCTGTGACCAGGCAGCTCTGTACATGCTGATTACCTGCCAGGTTTACTTGTGGTTTCCTGTGTAGTGATCACTGTAGTGGAACTATTAACGTTAGACTAAATATGAAAACTTGGAAGAAGGTGTGTTATGAAGTTGTCAGATTGCTCTTAGCATCGCTTTACCTGAAGGCTGGGAGGAACATGGTATAACTGGATTTTCTACTGTGTTGTAAGAGGCCAAAGTCATGCTGAGTCATCTGTATGGATATTTACAAAGGGAGGGACAAATCTTAAATGTACATTTCAGAAGTTTGGATGAAAAGATTCTTGTTGGCTAGACTTCATGTAAACCCACAACTTTTCCATATCAGAACATTTTATTATTAGCTGTAGATAAACCCAAATCATTGTGTTGAGGAATGGTTTGTTGGAAACTGGTTGTAACTTTTACTGTTGCCTTTACCTGAACACAGTTAAACAGGCTGTGTGGAAGGAGTAGCACATTTCCTATGGTCATTTGTCTTTGCCATGAGAGTCTGCCATGCTCTGTTAGCAAAGAGGGCCTGTTACTAAATAATAGATGAAAAAAGACTGATTAATTTATCAGTACTATAGATGGGCCCCATCTGTTTGGACACACTCTGGCTTTAAGAATCAGCTACACATCTAACTTCAGACCTACCCTGAACTGACATATCTGTGGAAACCTAAGTGAAATGTGCTCATTTGTCTAAGTGTACACTTGACATAGTTTTCTTATCAGTTCTGGAAAAACTTTGGCCTTGATGCAGGCATTAACTCATTCAGATTGGTGCCTCTTCAGCCTCGTAAGCAGAATTTTCCCGGTCAGTAAAAAAATAAATAAAAATCTGCATTTCCCCATATTTTTGCATTTTTCATAAAATGCTCGTTGTGATTTTTTTCTGGGGATCATATTTTGTGTCTCTATCAGCAGACCTACTGTTTGCAAAATGAGCATTTCTGCTTCTATTTATTTAGATGACTTTGGTTGTACTCTGGAATATTAGCATCTGTCAGCTGGCGATTTCATAGGGTATTGTGTTTTTCCCCCTAATTTACTCCCTTTGTTTAAATTGTTGAGCTCTGCTGCCTTTACCTGTAATAAACACACTTTTCGCGCTGTGCTGACAAAAGCAGGCAAGGGGCTTCTGTAGCTTCAAACCTAGAGGTGCATGCTTTGAAACATCATTTTTGTAGCCTTTAGTTTAGACACTTAGGTCTAGGGTAGATATCTGTGATTTGTTTTCAACCAGTTGTCTGAAGATTTTCCAAGACACAGCTTTCTGCCTTTACTATGAATGGTATCTAATTTCTTGTGTCGATGTAGAGTTACTGCTAGCAACATTAGTGTCCCCAGTTCCTGCTGTTACGTGGATGTGAGTCATCCCCTCGTTTGTAATCTAAAATCCCCCAGTTTTCTATGGAATAAACAGTTAGAAAGTGTGGCTGGGCAGGCCGTGCTAATTTTGTCCTGTGGTGCTCGTGTTTCCCGCTGTCATTGCAGTGTCGTGTACATGTTTGTAAACAGAATAGTAGTTGTAAGGACATGTGTATTAGTCCAAATGACCCGGAGGATCGGAGTTATGCAAGTTCCATTTTACTGATGGCAAATTGTTAGGGAACACTGTAACCGCTCGCTACGCTTTTCATCGCCGCGACTAAAGGTGTGCTCGTGAGCATGTATGCACGTGCCAGAGTGGTATAAACCTGACAGTCAGTTGCGTCAAGAGGCAGTGGCTATTTGTAGCTGTACTTACAGCTATTTGGTCACACTCTCTACTGAGATCGCAGACCACTGCTGAATGTTGCTTAAGAAGGCTGTTAATCCCTCTAATTTCTCACAGGCATCTGAGATTAGGCTGTGCAAGACAGCAGTGGCTCAGCTGTCTTTATTCTGATGGACCACACACACACAGGGCTACCTTATGATCTGTATTTTGATTCAGTGTAGGTCTCAGTTAGTTCTGAGTGTCTTAACTGAACTCCATATCCCCAGCAAGCAATTGCTTTTCTGTGTCATAACAACACCAATTACTCAGCCAAGTGCACTGCCAGTTCCTTTTCTTTTTTGGCTGCGGCTGTTGAAGATTTTTGCACCTCACTGTGAAATTTCCATTCATTGACTTCATGATGTCAGCAATAAATTGTGATGCATTATGATGCACGGTGACCAAACCCCACCCTGTCCCATGCCTGAGCCTATTGTATTTAGTGGACCATTTAGGCCCATACATTTTTTTTAACGTTACAACTCACAGTATGTAGCCTCAGACCGTGCTAATCAAATGTCAAGCAGCCTGATCACATGGAGCTGTCCTTGGTTTAGGGATGTCAGCTGGATGAGTCAGCCCAGTGCATGGCATTAACAGAAACCGTGAGAGAAAACAGTTAACAAGAGAGCTGCATTTATTACAAAATCCCCATCTTTATAGTTAAAGCTGCTACATGCAGTCGACATAAAAATTTAGAGAGCATAATGACAGCTAAGGCCAGCCCATATCCACAAAGTCACTGAAGGGTACAGACTATCACACCGTGAAGTGGAGTAAAATCCAAACTATTCAAATGTCCCAGTACAGTTTGGAAACAAATAAAATATGGACTGAAGGTGTAAATGCTGTCTCATCGTGGCTCCATTGGGGTTTATTTTGTGGACGTCTATTAAAAGACATTCAGTGCTTTATTTATCCGTGTGGTTGGTGGTGGTTTCAGTTGCTATGGATATGCACAGCCATCATGGGGTTTTTCTTTTGTGTCAGCATCACTGCGACCAAAGGTGGGATGATGAATTCTCTCACTTCCCCTATCCTGTGTCAGTTTTGTCGTCATCTTGCATCCTTCCCTACAGCGCAACTGCTGACTCACACGGTGCCGTTTCAAGCTCTTCTGTCACATATGTTTTCTGTAAGCAGGCCTCTCCAGCAGACCTTTTCATTTATGATGAGAACATGAAAAACACACATAGTCACCCGTGTCTAACAGAAGCCACTTTTCTATTTCACCATCATCCTCATGAGCTGCCAGGATGAAGAGATGTTTGATCTGTCAGGGTCAGAGCACAGCTGAGGAACATTTGACTTTAAGATATTTTAAATCATGTTGCTGTCAGAATCACTTTAAATACCATATTTGACATACAATGCTTGTGCAAGAGTCTTTCTTGGTTACACTGATAAAGAACCACAGAATATCAGTAGCTGACAGTCATTGTGGTGAAAAGTAATTAACACCAAATTTTAACACCAATGCAATATCGCTCATGTAATGTCATTATGTTGCTGCTACATCTAACAAATCCCAGAATGCAGAAAACAATAAGCAACATGTTTTGAGATACTGATTTTGTGTGACAGAATTATTATTATTTTGCTGGTTTTGTAGTTTTGAATTCAGCTTTTTTTTTCATTTCTGTTTTTCCGTCTTTATTCTCCTTTTTATTTGCAGGAGGTTTTGCCATAGTTTTTTTGGTGCGGACTCATCAAGGCCTACGTTGTGCACTAAAAAGAATGTATGTCAACAACGAACATGATCTGCAGGTCTGCAAACTTGAGATACAGATTATGGTGAGTAAGACTGTGAAGTAACTGACTGCTGAGTGCAGCAAATTGCATTTTCTGGAAGGATTTACTACTTTTCTTTCATTTTATCCTGCCTAGAGTCTGAAAACAGCTAGTGTGATAGAAGTTACTCCACTGAGAAATACAGACTTTGCATTGACGATCAAATACTTAGTTAAATTTTTTTAACTTAGTAGTTTGGTCATTACTAACAGTGAAAGCTTGAATTCCTGCATTCCTAAAGTATAAACATTAAAAGTTGTTTGAAAAATACTCTTTGGCATAGTGGTGATAACAGAAGAAAACTCCAGGGTTTTGTAATTAATTCCCACTTTATATATAAAATTCTCTTCCGAATGTTCCCTTGCCTGTCCATTTACATGGAACTGGGGCTTTCACTGTGAGCAAAACTAGCCGGTTCCTGCAGCCACACCCTGGGTGGCATGACTGTTGGTGGATGGTTATCATCATTACTTCCAGACCTTTGGAAGATAAAAATAGACTGAATGGATGTATTTTGCAATTTACTAAATAAATTCTCTTAGGACTGTGTAATCAGTGAAAATTGTGTCTCTGTTGTTTGTCATTGTTGCCTGTGTTTGTTTACACAGAGGGACCTAGTGGGCAACAAAAACATAGTTGGTTTCCTGGACTCCAGCATAACTGCCGTCGGAGCGGGTGATGTGTGGGAAGTCCTGATCTTAATGGACTTTTGTCGAGGTAAATTGGCCTACTCCTCACGCATTTCGGTCTCTGTTGAATTCAAAACTCCATTACCCTCCGCTCCTCGCAGCATCCTGTTGTGTACGAAGGCAAATATTCAACTGATTGCGGTCAATAGAACTTATGCTTCAGTCGATACATAACTAAGTGGTGTTACATTTAGAAAAGTAAAATAATGCATAGTTGAAGTGTACAAAGTGGAGAGAACAATTCTTTTGTGGGGACTTTAGCAAAGTTTAAAACACCATAGAAAGTATTGGAAGCTTTTTAATACTACAACACCAATAATAATTCAGGTTTTAAGGTAATACATTAAGAAAATAGTTATTTTGTGTTACTCAAAAGTTTGTGAACTTTTACACAAGTGCCACATTGATTGGCTGTTTTCAAAATATGAAAAATAAAGTGATTAATGTACTTTTTTTGTATTTACTGTAGATGTTATTACCACAGTTAGTATACACCTCACAGAGTCAAGCTATTAATTAAAAGAAGTAGATATTTATTTACTTATTAGGTTGTTCATGAAAATATGGGAAAGTAGTGATTCAGGAGTGTTTATTTGTTGTGACCTTGCCTTACTTTTTTAATATAGGTGGGCAGGTGGTCAATTTAATGAATCAGCGGCTACAGACAGGCTTCACTGAGGCCGAGGTGCTGCAGATCTTTTGCGACACATGTGAAGCTCTCGCTCGTCTCCACCAGTGCAAGACTCCAATCATCCATCGAGATCTCAAGGCAAGCCTAATTAAATTCCTAATAGTGCCGACTGCATGAAGCCACACTAATTATTCCGAAGTTGCAAGTTATTTATTGTGACACGTTGCTATCACTTCTAATGAGAAACGCTATCTCATTTTCCTCATGTAGGTTGAAAATATTCTCCTGCACGACCGGGGACACTATGTGCTCTGTGATTTTGGAAGTGCCACCAACCGCTTCCAAAACCCTCAAACGGAGGGGGTGGCAGTGGTGGAGGAGGAAATTAAAAAGTGAGGTTTTTTGGGACCACTTTGTACATTTTATCTTTATTATACCAAGAATCAGAAGCTCACTGATCTGCTCTTAATATTAGGTACACAACTCTGTCATACCGCGCCCCAGAGATGGTCAACCTCTACGGTGGAAAAGTCATTACAACAAAGGCAGACATTTGGGTAAGACTAACTTTCTAAAAAAAAACTTTAACACAAAGTTGACTGTAGGATCAGAATAATTCACTGTCAAGGTGACGCGTGCATCACTAGTTACTGACATGCTTCTTGTCTCTATAGGCCATGGGTTGTCTACTCTATAAGCTGTGCTACTTCACGCTTCCTTTTGGTGAGAGCCAAGTGGCGATCTGTGACGGCAGCTTCACTATCCCAGACAATTCGCGCTACTCCCAGGAAATGCACTGTCTCATTAGTGAGTAACCGTGTTCCTCACCGTCCTACTTACTGCATGTACACCATGTGTATGTGCAGTTTGATTTGAATGTGAATTTCCATGTGTCGGACTCAAAATAAACATCCATGTTTGGGAACCTCTCAGGATACATGCTGGAACCTGACCCAGATAAGAGACCAGACATCTACCAAGTATCCTACTTTGCCTTTAAACTGGCTCGACGAGAATGTTCAGTCCAAAATGTACATGTAAGTAAGCATGGCCAGACTTTGTACTACATATAAAACAAATTTGAACATTCTTATTCACATTTTGCTTTTTTATATGTTCTTATTGTTTATTTTACTAACTGCATATTTTTGCTTATTTATGGTGGAAGTAACTTTACTCTCTCTGCTCTAACTACCGACTCTCCCCTTGGGCATTCATAAAGTATTTCTATTCGAATGTCAGCAACATTATTGTAGAATGTGCTTTAGGGTTAGCAGATATCATGCTGTCAATTATTTTTTATGATCTATCTTGTGTGTGGTGGTTTCAGTTGCCTCTTTGCTTTTCAGAAAAACAGTGATCTAGGACATAGTGATATTGGAGAGCAGCACTGCTTTCAGCTTTGTTTTGCTACTTTGCTCCAAGTATTATGAAAGTGGGCAATAATGATTTGTCCATGGAAGATGCAAGTCGATACCGCTCACATCATTTGATACTTTACTGATATAAGAAATGTAAACTGTTTGTTTTGGTTGTTTTTGGTAAATATGAAATCTTCTTACTGTTGTAGAATTCGCCCATTCCTGCAAAACTTCCTGAGCCTATCAGAGCCAGTGAAGCAGTGGCCAAAAAGAGTCAAACCAAAGCCAGGTGAGTGTGAAGCAAAGCATTTGACCGCTATATTACTTTTATGAGAAACTTTACAGTTACTCTCCAGTTCTCTCTTTTCCTTCCTCCAGGCTCACAGACCCAATTCCTACCACAGAAACCTCAATTGCACCTAGACAACGGCCCAAAGCTGGCCAGGCCCAGCCACAGCCTATATCAGGCATTCTTCCCATCCAGCCAGCTCTCACACCACGCAAGAGGCCCAGCGTGACAACTGGAGCGCCCCAGGCCATAGGTACGATTAGCTACTCTGATGACATTATATATATTAGGCTTAAGGGCATTGGTGATAGAAACCTGGTTTTACTGTGACCCTTGTAATAATTTACTTCATAATATAATCAAAAGGGCATCTGGTGTTACACTAAATGAACTCCTGAAGAATTTGACTGTAAGACCTTTGTTTTCGCAGCGGTTTAATTAGCCCATTCTTAAAAGGCTTTTAATTGTCTTTTTATGAGGCTTTCGACAGGGCCATTCATTTGTGGTCCACTTGCAAAGACAGAATTGATGGTGGCTTGATGTCACTTTAATTAGAGCAGCATGCTCTCACATCCTTTATGTGTAGTTCCTACTGACTCGTTTGCCGACCACTAATCTGAGTAGATATTGTGTTATAAAGTGCAATTCTATGCTTAAAATCAAATAAGTGCATTCATTAGTAGAATGCTTTAGAGTATTGTCTTGTTTTGTGTTTTGAACTAAGGCCCTGCATTGTTTAAACTTTTCTTTCTCCCAGAAATTAAGATTAAAAATGTGAATTGTCTTATATTCAAGGATTTGAGAATTATTTAGTTTCGTGTAATTATGGTCTTTTACTTTGCTTTGCATTAGGGGTTGTTTGTTACCATGATGCTGTCAGGTTTCTTTTTACAGTAAGTCTTTTAGTCAGTCAGACCTAAAAGTCTTTTCTTAGTCCATTTTAATTCAGCAGCAGTTTCTAAAAGCTGATGCAGCATGTTTTCCTGCCACAGTGTTAGTATATGCGGGATAGAGAAGATGCACTAAATCTTACATGTTACTGTATTCCCTGTTTTTCTTGTATGAGAGAAAGGAATTGATTCAACTCTCATCTCCTAGATTCCAGTTATCTCAGGAAGACTATTCTCCAAAAGTCTTTTGCTCACAGACAGATGTTAAAGGGACAAACCATTTTCAAAATTTCTGGAAACTTATAACTACACAAATACTTGCACACACACATTTTGTACAACATGACAAGAGTCTATCAATCAATCAGACTTTATTAGTGTATCACCTTCCATACACCTCAGTGCAGTTTAGATTGCTTCACAGATGACTGACAGGCCGATGATAAAACAGAGCAAGCAGGAAGGAAAATATAGATGGCTCAGCCAGTTAGTGAAGATATGGGATAGCTCTTCATTGTCCTCACTCTTCTTACTTTTCTCACTTCCAGGCGTTGGTATCGGTGTCCCACCTCCAGCTGCAGCTGCTGTCCAGCCTGCTCAACAGGCTTCTGCTGCGCAAGCTGCAGCACAGCCAGCACAGACAGCCAACATGCAGCCACAGGCTACACCTCAGCATCAGCAGCTCCTCATAAAGCAGCAGCAAGCTTCAGCCTTCTTAAGCCCCCAGAGCAACCAGCAGGTAGGAACCCATCACAACAAGAATGGAAAAACTGGCAGCATTCTGTGCTTGAAATTATTGGATGGCATGTGACAGTACTGCGTCCATGTTCAGACATTTTCAGTCTGATTTTTAACCAACAACAGCATCAGGGTGTTTCCGGAAAATACTATGTTATAATAGTATTAAGTTTTGTGAACCACTTTTGACAGTCACTATGCATGCAGTAACACACACGGGCTTTATGCCATGGCTTTAAATGTACAAACACATACTATGTGCTGGTTCATTTGTGTGACTATACAATCTATTTATCTTTTTAGTTTAATGTTTGCAGTCTGAATCTGTCCTCATCAATCTCAACCATTTGGTTTTCTATAAATGTTACAGGTGCAGTTTTTTGTTTTTGCCTACACTAAAGACTAAAAGCTCAGACATCTATATCTAGCTCTCCAAGAGCTTGCTACCTGTCCAAGAGCAATAAATCAAATCAACAACAATTTACTTCACCTGGGAAAAAGTTTAAAACTTGCTCATGATTGGCTGTGTGGTATTCCTATGTAGCATCAGCTGGTGCAGAACATCCACCAACAGCAGCAACAACAAACACCGTCTCAAGCGTCTACTCTGCTGCAGTCCAAAGCTAAACCTGTTCCTCCAGTTGTTACCCTGCAGCATCAGCAGCATGTAGCAGCTCCACATCTCACACCCATCCCTGAGTCTGCAGTCACTGGCCCTGCAGCTGACCCAGAGGTTGTGGTAACATCGCACTCTGCTGCTAGCTGCTACTCTTTGGGTCGGGGCTGATTATTAGCTCGTTTCTAACGAATCACACCCAGATTTCTACTCCTTTCTTCTTCTTGGGAAGTCAAAACGTGATCTCCATTCCACTCAAAGGAATGGTCTCAGTGTGTTAATACCAGTCGTCACTGGTGTTAATGCCATGTAGCAATGCTCCTTATAATGCCGTCTTCATTTTAAAAATGTCTGTTTTTACATATGTAGATACTATATAAATTGTTCAAATGATTTCTGTCTTCCTACTGCATTTATTTTCAGCTAACCAGTAAACTTTCAGGTGTGTCAGTTTCTATTAGACCCATGACTGATTCACTTTCTTCCCTTTTCCAAAGTGGTTTTCTGTGTTTTTATATGTTATGGTCTTTGAGGAATCTATAAACTATCTTTTTTCACTTGATTTGCTTTCCCAGTTGATCTTACTTGCTCTCATGTTTGGGGTCTGATTTTTTTCTCCTTTGCTTTGTTAATAAGAGAGAAAATGTTTGCTTTCTACATAACAGATGTTGTTTCTGTCGCCATCAGTTTTCCCTAATCTCCTGCTCTGCGTTTTCTCTCATTACAGACAACTAGCAGAGGGATGCACAAAGTTGGATCCTTGACACCCCCTTCGTCGCCAAAGATGGCCCCCAAGAGTGGCCACAGACGCATCCTGAGCGATGTCACCCACAGTGCCCTTTTTGGGGTCCCAGTCAGCAAGTCCACCCAGCTACTTCAGGCAGCCGCAGCTGAGGCCAGCCTCAACAAATCCAAGTGAGCAGAATTAACCCCCCTCAGTGATCTGATGATGAACTGTCCTTTCATGGCACTGAGTGAAGCTGGAAGGCCAATAGACAGTCCATTCATATGACAGAACCCAGAAGGAGAATAAACGACCCTTTTATGTCCCAAAGAATCCAGCTGAAGAAGAATCACTCAATTCAGTCTTTAAATAACTCTGTTCACTTGCTCCTATTTGCATACGTCAGTAGGCCAGTGTCCTCAGACTGAACACACTTTGTCTAATTTCACTGTGTCTCACCGCTGTTTATGTTTACGCATCTTTGTGCCGCAGATCAGCCAGCACCACTCCTTCTGGCTCCCCCTGCTCGTCCCAGCAGAATGTGTATCATCCAGGTGATGCTGACGCTCCATCAGCACTTACTGCAACCAGCACTCAGCCCAGCTGGAACCCCTTCGGAGACGATAACTTCTCCAAACTAACAGCAGAGGAGCTGCTCAACAAAGACTTTGCCAAGCTAGCTGAGAGTATGTTCAGTTTTCTCACTGCATACTTAGAAAAGCAGCTTTGTTAAATAGCTGTGTAATCTAAAACTAATTTTTGTTTATGCACAGCTGCTGCGGCAGGAGAGAAGGTCACGGACTCCAGTGAAAATCTCATTCCAGGGCTCAATGCTTTTCCAGGTAAGGTTTTGTTTCATTTCAATCTAATTGCTTTGCATGCTGTATTTTTCAGGAAGCTTATCTTTGATATCAGTCACCTCGTGGACTTTTCTCCCGATATCTATGCGTGACGTTTCCATGTTGAAAGAGGTGGAGTTCAAACATTTTGCTGGCATATATCCTCTATGTATTGCTGTCTTCATGGCTTTTCAGAGTTGTCATAATGCTAGCTTATGTGTTCTCTATCCCTTAGTCATACCTGCTTTCTTTTTCTGTTACTCATGCTCACGCGTTCCTTCATTTATTTTCTCCCGTTTTTATTCACTGTGCAATATCAAGCTGAAAGATCTGCAGACAGCACAAGTGCAGGTTCAGGACTGCTGACTGCCCCGGACTCCTTTAATACCCACTCACTCTCTGACACCACAGGTAATTTTCTTGTCACATTGTGACAGAACGGGCCATGCCTTCGATTCTCTCTCAGGCCTTGGGCTCCTGAACAAATATATCCTTAGAACGTATGAGTCACTTTTTATTTGCTGAGGTTGTTTCCTGGATATCACACTACCCAGAGGTTGGTTCATGAGTGCCAGTTTTGTGGTTTGGATTTGTACACAGTCCTATCTTGTTGACATAGCGAGCAGCCTCACAGTGGCTTCTTGTCAGTGTCCATGAATAGACTCCGTAGCCACAGCTAGGTCGCATCTCATTTGCAGATCTGTGCTTTCGCTGTTGCCTGGTAACGCGAAGGACAAATTCTCCTTTGTTAATTGGATTGCCTTGTGGTGGTGGAGGAGGCTGCTTACCAGTGCCACTAAGAACGAGAGAAAGTTAAGCACGCTGCCTTGATAAAATGATGACCCAACCTTTTATGTTCTCCTCAGTTCAGCCTTTAGACCTTTTGGAAGTAAATGCTCTTTAGCCATGTAACGTCCTTTGTGTCGTTGCTGTTTAGGGCCTGGACTGAGAGGATAAAAATGTTGAGGCTATTGCATAACAAGGGTGTGTGGTTAATCTTCTCTATCCAGCCTAAGCTGTCTCGTTGACTCTCTGTATTGCTCACTGGAAAAGGATGCACACAAGCAAATGCAGTCTGTCTTTTGCTGCTTGAGCAAAAAGTGGAATCTGAGCAACATTTTAGATGAAGACAGCCTTGCTGGAATTAACTAAAACAGAGCATTCTGTATGTAGCATTTTAGTACTGCACATGTTCACTATTGACTGGGTGAATTAGCTTTTTGACATTTAGGATTTGTGAAAAGCTCTTCATCAGTGTTGGCCTCTTTCCTATAGTGAAGGGGGCAAAAGGTCACATCTGCTGTGCCATTTTCTGAGCCAACACATTCCTTGTCTAAGACCCCCCCTCACCCCATTTTGCCCCATAGCAGTTTCCTGTAAGTATGAGCTGCAGTTAAACGTCAATAATTGGTTGTTTTGTGCATGAAGTGTATTTCAACCTACTCAAATCAGTATAGATTTTTTTAATAACAGAGATGCATCACTTTATGAAATAATACAATTTTTATAGAGTTTTGGTAGAGGCAGTTTCTCAAAAAAATCTCTACTAATTTGTCTGCACTGGTTCAACATTGAGTTCAGAAGGTTGTGGACAGTGATTGCTGTGACTTGATTTGTATAATTAAATGGAAAAACTTTTCAGCAGTTATGGTTTGGTGGCATTTTGACATTTGAATGCATGGGCCTTCACTTAACTCACTGGTCTTGGAGTGTGAGACTGTGGTGGGCAGAACTAAATAAACTAACAACTGAAGCAATGATGTTATTATTGTATTATGGTTTGGCTGATGTTGCCAGCAGTCATGTGAATGTGAAATTGCCTTAAAATATTAACATGATGGTCAGTTGTCATTTTGTCATGCTGCTAAACATATTTGTCCCTAAAAATGTTGATCATTTTGGCAACGAGATGTTTATTATCTAATAAATATTACTAACCTGCAATTACCCTCATTGATTTTGATTATGGCTCGAGCTTCATGTCGCTTCAGTTTTTCTGCTCTTTTTTTCTTCTTATTCAGAATTCTCCCTCATTGCGTTTTTTCTCTCTGTTGCCATCTGCTCATTACTTCTCCATCTTTTTTTCTCTGGCTTGCTCACAGAGAAGCTGATTGAGGGACTGAAGTCCCCTGAACCTTCTCTGCTGCTTCCTGACCTCTTAACCCTGGCTGACCCCTTCAATACTTCTGCAGTGAGCTCCACCAATGGTACCAGCTCTATTCTTGTCCCCTGCTTTGCCCAGAAATTCCCCATCTGCTCTGCATGTGTCTCCCTTGCTTTCCTTCTCCTTTTTGTCTCACATGGTCAAGAAGTCAGAAAGACCAACTAGAAAAGGAGCAAAGAAGACCCTCATTAATTTTATCCCTACTAAAGCAATATATTTTCTTTTTTATGTTACTAACATCTTCTTTGTATCGCTGTTTTTTTCCCACTTGCTGTTTCTATGTAGCAAAAGCTGAAGTGTGTGTGGATTCACTGATTCCTGGTTTGGAAGCTCCCCAGGCTCAGAGACATTCAGGCCAGCCAGAGCTCATCCCTGCCAGCATGCCAGGTTAGAATCCTAGACAACCAAATAGGAAACCTCAACATAAACACTTATCCAAGACTGACTGATTCCTGGTGTGATCATGAGCTCCCTGTGACTTGTTGACATTTTCTTGACCTGCAGTTTGTTTGTTTTATTGTTATTGACAGTAACCAGTATGCCTGATCACACTGTCTTGGCAGAAACACTACAGTGACGAGTCATTATTGGCTTTGCTCTGAATGGAACAGCATCTTAAGTGCACTACCATGATATAGAATGAAACCCCAAGGTTTTCTAGGACGTAAACTGGCCTATTCAGTACAAAAAAATAAATAAATTTTCTTTTCTTGCCTTTATCTTTTTTTTTTTTTTAATCGATACTAATCTCACTGAAAAGCCACCCACTCTACATTTTTCTATGTTGATCAGTATTCGCTGCAACCAACATGATGGTTTTGTACTCGTAGCTACTGCTGAGTGTTAAATCAACACGTTGATTGTGGTCCGGATGTCTTAGAAAGCTCCAAGGTGTAAAATAAAAGCTGTGCGAATAATGAAAGTACTTAAATAGTTGCCTAACTGCTTGCTGCTTCCAGGTGAACCATCAACAAAGAGCAGGTGCCTGAAAGTTCACCAGGTTTATTTGCTTTCTATAGCTGCTTCTGCTAATTCTAAAATCTCTCAGCCATGAGCAAAGCACATCAAATGTTATCTGTTCACTAAACACAAGAGTCTTTATGAACTCTCAGCATCTGAGGAACTGAAGAGCCAGTAGATGACTTTTATTTTGGATGGCAGTGTCATCACAACAAAAAGGAAAATCCTTTCGGTGGCTAATGTTACTATTAGCTGTGATTGTAGGCCCGCAGGTCAGAACTCTTTGGAAATTGTAATGTTCAGGGACGATCCGAAATGGTGTAAACTTTAAGACCGATTTGAAAGTAATAAAAAGTGCTGGGTGTGGGTTACTGTGTTTTAATGTTGCCTGTTAAGCTTCAGTGCACCCTAAACTCAGCCAGTAGCAGGCTTTTACATCTGTTTGTGTCTCTCCTGCGTTTTGTCCTCACATATAATGTTTTTTTTATGCAGCAATTTTCTATTTCTGTTGTGAGACAAGAGGACAAGTGAAATAGTGACTGAAACGCAGCCCGTTAAACGACTTGTTAACTCACAGTCACTTCATTGCCATTTTCAAGCTGCTGCTCAGCACTGCTTAGATGTTGGTTTTATAACCACAATGTTGACTCATGGTACAGAGAGTTCGAAATGACAACTGTGCTGTGAGTTATGTGATATTTTCATGTAAAGTGATTGGTCAAAGAGAAAGTTAGAAGCATTAGAAAGTCCTGAATAGGTCGCACTTATTCATGTAGTGCCACGAGGTCAGCTGTTGTTGTTCACTAAATCCAGGGGTTATACAGTCACAGCAAAGTCTTTGTGGTATTTAAAGATGAAAAACTGAAAGACACATTCTGGGGACATGTAAGACTTTTACTATTATGCTGAAAAGGGTTGCAATATGGTACCTTTAAAGCATAGCTCCTTTTGCTGCTGCTGATTATATATTTACACATATAATACAGTGAACTGTCTTACTAACAAAATGCATCTTCCTCTGCTCATTATGCTAACAGCCTTTTTTTAATCTATTTTTTTTACTATGATCCCTTGTCCCTCTGGCTTTGCTTCCTCCTGTCTCAGACTCTCTCACTGGGGAGGACTCTCTGCTGGGTTGCGATCTGTTATCTCATACTTCTCATGGAAGCCAGTCTGTTTCTGCTCTCCCTTCCTCCTCCTGCTCCTCTGCTCCTCCTGGCTCCGGCTCTGGATCCTGTCTGGAGGAGCTGCCACCTGGTCAGACTGCTTCTGGTAAGACCTCCCCTTTGCAGCTAGCCTTATGCGTGCTGGGTGTTTTTGGCCACACAATTGCAGACCACAGATCACACCCACAGCAGGAGGGCCTGTTTAAAACAAAGAAAACACTAAATGACAGCCTCAACAGACCCTTGACTCATTAGTCGAAGAGCCAAAAGCCACGTAAAATTCACGGCTTTTAAATACTGTGACTGCCCTGGCTCCATCTGTTTTTAATCTACTCGCATGCCCCTTTCTTTTTTGCTCTTTTCTTTGGCTGAGTTAACTTCTGCCCCCCTCCCATCGTTACTTCACTTCCTCTTCCTTCACCGCAGACTCTGCTTTCCTCATGTCGTGTGGGGAGAAGGGCAATGACGACGAGTTTGACCCTATTCCCGTGCTCATCTCCAAAAACTCAAATCAAGGTAAGGTTAACGAAATTCCGAGATGAGCACTCACACCTGCTGAAGCCCAGACTGTGAGCCACAACGATGAATGACTTGGCCCCTAGTTCAGTCACCATAACTCGTTCCCCGCGATCGCTGATGTGAGAAGTCTTGTATGGGTGTGCTTGTCACATTAAGGCTTTTTATCCCATCAAGCTCTCACATTAGTCATCCCTCTCTCCCTTGTTTCTAATGTTAGACTGCCAGTGTTTCTCCGTCTTGCAGGTGTTTGGCTCTTTTTAGTTAATCTTGAAAGTCTCCTCATGTTAGAATGGCATTCCCTTACTCTCCCCCCTGTAATGATGCAGCTGTATAAAAAAAAGAAAAGAAAAAAAAATATCCCAGCTCACTCTCTGCTTGTTTCTCTCTCTACCCCTATTCATGCATCTCTCTGCTCTGCCATCATTTTCCCTCATCCTCACCATCTCCTCGCTCTTAATTTCTCCATACGACCCCCTGTTAATATGACTTATTCTTTTGCTTGTCTTTCACAATCTCCCTCGGCTCTTCCATCTCCATCTCTGTCTCTGTCTCTCTTTCTTTCTGGCACGTTTCAGGTGGTCACTCGCGCAGCAACAGTGGCAGTTCAGAGAGCAGCATCCCCAACTTGGCCCGCTCCCTTCTGCTGGTGGATCAGCTCATCGACCTCTAGAGGGGGTGGGAGAGGTCGAAGGGGCAGTGTGCAATCCTAACGAAGGGATGGGCGGGAAGGCGGGGAGGGGGATAGAGATGGGCAAGCAGAGGCACTTAATGTAGCACCTTATGAAGTGAGAGGAGCCAGCATCTATTGGTTCAGTGGAACCTTTCTCTTTATGTGCCTCCTTGGCCTCAACTCCATCTCTAGTTGCCTGATAAGCTGGTTTCATACGTCTCTGCTGGCCGTTGACATTCCCACGCTGGTAAAAAAAGAAAAAAAAAATCTTTTCATTAATGCCTGAGCATATCGTCTGCTTCTGTCCTGGCCACACCATGGTCTTCCTCATGCTTTTCCTCATACTCGCATTAATATCCCTCATTGAGTGCACGCCATGGTGATCGACCCTCATCGTATGCACATGTCAAACTGCTTGATCACAGCTGCATTGTGTTCACTTTGTCCACTTGTTCAGGGTTGAAGCTATATTTAAACAAGCCACATTCAGGCATGGTCATGTGTGTCAGGGGTCTGACTAAAGACTGAGGACTGAAAATGTTGTGGACCTTCTGGATAATTTGACGCACTTTCCTGTGAAAGCTTTGAACTAAACTAGTGCAAACAAAGACGCAACCTGAGTGAACCGCTGAGAGCCATGCTGCTGCGCTGATTGAACCAGTTTGTAAACCTGTAAAGAAAGTAATGTCACCGTTGGGCGATCTTTACAGATTTCTCAAACTGTTTTGGTTTGCTGCTCTGCGAGGAGAATAGCACTGCCTTATTCAAACATTTTGTTTGGATTTGATTGCAGTGCACACAGTCACAGCATCTACACAGGTCAAATTTGTTCAGTCCTGTACTACTGTTGTAATATAGATCAGTAGCAGTGAGTTTAACAACAGCTGGTCTGGGCTAACTGGGTACATTTTGGGGGTTGACGGATGTGTGTTTTTCTGGGTGGATAGCGATTATTTGTAATCAAGGAGATCGATAACCAATATTTGGAACCATAAAATTTAAATATTGGTGTCAACATTTAGAATAACACAAACCTGCCTTTGTTTATTTATGTTTTACATATGTTTAATTTAAAGAGAACTTTTATTCAACACTTATTATTGATAGGCTGCTACTAATCAGTCGACCCCTAGTACATTTGTTAAGCTTCTGCATCACTGTCTATTGTGACCTCTCTCTCTCTCGATGTTACGCAGGGTGATATTCAAAAACTACACGTGTAAATCTGTCAGTCCTGACGATGTCTTGAAATCCTGAAACTGGTGAAGTCAGTGTTAACATTGCATATTAATTTGGCTCCATTGCCACAGCAAGATGCTTTCAATGTCAGCATTACCTACAACATTTAGACCGTTAACGTAGTGGGTGCATTTTACAGTCACATCTTTTAATGCTTAGAAACATAAGTCACTTCTTTGACCTGTTGTCAGGATAAGCACAGCAAAAATAAAAGGGAATGAAATCATTAGACCTGCAGCAATGCCAAAGCTAAAGGAGATTTTATAATCACGCTATGTTTGCCATGTGTTAGTCTGCTCTCAGGGTCAGTCAAAATGAGCAGATTTTTAGCAGCATGCTGCTGTTACAGACAGGGAGGTACGTTGTACATTTCATCGAGTTATTTTCTGTGGGTACTAGCTTTACGTGAAAGTCTCCCTCTCCCACTGACATCCTCTCGGTCATCTCTAGCAGGTCCATTGTTACCACAAACCTGGAGGTTAGTTGGCCAAGATGACATTCATTTCAGCCAGAGGAGAAATTCAAAAAGACTCCATTATATGTACATAAAATCACTGTTAATTTTTTTTTTCTTATTTTTGCTCTTGTCCGCACTGGTAAAAGTAGATTTTTAGTGTGTGATATTTAAAAGCATTTCATCTCTCACGATATAAATACATGTGACTATTATTGATAGTGCTTTAGAATGAATGTATGAAAGAATGTCTTCATTATGTAAAAAAAATTTATAAGGATATATAGATAAAAACATATTTGTGTATGAAGCTGTATTTAAGAGTGCTAAACTGTTGACCCTCTCCTCTGTCCAAAGTCTTTTTATCTTTTCTCTCCATTCATGTCAGTCATTTAGATTGTGCTTTTGTTAAATGTTATCATCAATACATGAAACAAAGTGCTTATGACTTACCTGACTGGATCGTATTTGTAGCGCTCCATTGCAGTTTCTCACGTTGTACTTGTAAGTTACTATATAAATGACTGGGATAGATTCTGTCGAACAGACAGCAAAACAGAGCTAATGACGGAATTTGCTTCCTGATATCTCTGGAGTAACTTTCCCCTCTGACAACTGTTCTCTTTCGTTGTATGAAACGATAAGAACGTCTCGTCTTACGTCTGTATGAGTTGCATCTGATCACTACAACCGACTGTGTATTACATTTTTAATGTCAACATTCCACCGAGTATTTCACTTTTCATTTTGCATTTTCTCTTGCTAAGGAAGGTCCACGGCATAGTCAGAAGTTTTTTTTTAAAGGTCCATATCACCTCAGATATGTACATACAAACAGAAAACTGCACCTTTTACCCTGATATTCCATCACTGGTGCAGACTATGTGCTTGAATTTTTGGGCATGAATAGTTTCCCCTTGTATGACATACTGGTAAAGGTTAGTCATTAACACTACTAGAATAATTGGCATGAGTAAATGGCACTATCCTTTTTCTTTTTTTGTTCCTCCATCTAATGTTGTTCGGTTAAGTCATTTGCATTTTTGTGGCTAATCTATGCAATCCTACAATAATGCTTCATGTTCTTATCAGACACTACAGTGCTGTATCCTGTAGAGTTCTAGCCTTGGCCGTAGAGTTTTACTTGTGTTGCTGTGTGAAACTAATGTACTTACTGTGCTGGTTGGGTTGAAATGGTGACAGATATAATAATTACTTTGATTATATCAGAAATGTTGGACTGGAATTGGCAGAAGATGTTCACATGTCAAAGCAGGATCATTATCGAGTGTACTTCTATTTTTATGAACTAAGGGTTCCAAAAGTGAGACACAGTAGAGGGACAATAAAACTCATTAATGTGAATGTAAATTCAGTCTGCTTGGGTCATATTTTTTTTTTAATTTTTACTCTGAAGAGCAAAGGAGCCAGCTGACTTTTTTTTTTCTTAAGATTATTAAAGTTTCATTATTTAAACTAGCTGACAGGTCATTTTCTTTTCATGAAAGCTAATTAGATTATAAATACTGCAGCTTCATGGCCTCAGTACTAAACCATTCTTTAGTGTGTACTTTGCACCATATGCATCGCTTACTACAGACATTTCTCTGCCTGACAACTTGCATTGTTGCCCCGTTTTTTTTAGCTTTTTGAGCTTTTATTCTGAAATGCAAAAACTTAATAGAAACTTAGCAGTATTTTAGGTTTTCATCCTTGTTCTTTTCTCTTGTCACCCCTCCATCTAAGTTTTTATACGCCCCCCTGGATGTCATTAGCATCACTTTTACACCCATATTACAGTGAACTACTGTTGCGATTGCAGGCCAGAATTGTGGGTTAGGAGCTTTGAGGCCTTGGTGCCTGGGTAGCACCATAGATAGACAGGCTGTAGAGTCTACGAGCTGTATGGTGAGAGATTAACAGCACAGTGACACGAGCGATCTTCCTGTGTGTTGTTTTGGTAGACAGTTCTGACCAATGAGGTAATCTGTAGTTCATTTTTCAGTTGAATTAACTGTGGCTCAAAGGTGTGGCAAATGGACTGTGGACAGTTTAAAATAGACGAATGATGAGGGGAAATCACCCGAGAAGTAAAACAAAAAGAAAAACTGGTGTTTTCCTTTAATGGCTGCAACTAACATCTCCACAAGAGCTGCCAGTTAACAGCTGCTGCCAACACTGCTGAGGTAAGACTGATCTGTCTCCGCTCATCTGTGCAAACCTGTCTGTCCCTAACTATTTTCACTTTTGCTGTGAAGGCTCGTCCTCCTTGTTTCCACAGAACTACTGACTCCCCCCCTCCTAAGCTTCCCCCCCTACCTCAACTCAATCAGTTCTAACTAAAAGCAAAACTGCTGTCCCTGTTTCCCCCTAACATGAGGCACCATTTTCCAAGGTTGAGTTGAGGACACCGCAGCTGTGCTCAAGCTAATTTGTGGAAACAAGGTTATTTGATGTTGCACTGGTAGAGCAGGTAGTCTTGTCTGTCTCACGTGACTTGTTCAGAGTAGAATTTGTGTGTGTTCTTGTAGTCTTGTGCTGATTCCTCATTATTGGGTCATTCTCATCGATCAGTGGTTTACAGACTCTAGAGGTGATCCATCAGTCATACAGTATGTCGAGTGTGTCACTGAGAGTTGATGGTCTGGTAGATAACTGGGCAGCTGGACCTCACATGTTTAAGTTTCTATTTGCTGATATTTGCACTGTAACATTTTTGTTCACTTCTGATATGTTTGCTCTGCTCTCTTCAACAGATGCGCAAGGGGAGAGTAATGGCTACTCTGTGCTTGACGAGGGACAAGAGACTGAAACTCTCGAAGGAAGTCCTCAGAAAGACGAGGACTGTGTGCACTCCAGCGACGAAGACGAGGAGAAAGAAGCCCAAAAGGAAGAGCAGCAGGATGAGGGAGTCATTGAGAGCCATGTTGCCGCCCACGACTGCAGCGGCTCTAGACCTCTGCTGATGGACTCTGAGGATGAAGAAGAGCCTCAGTTGGCTCTCCAGTCATCGCTGCTCTCCAGCACAGTACCAACACAACCATCGTCTACCTTCCATCAACCTACTTCAAGCACCTTCGCTCAGAATCATTCCTCGCATCCGCACGAGCCAGAAAAGGGGACCGATGTCGCTGCAGACGTCTTCTCCAAAGCCCCCTTTCGGATCGCGCATGAAGACACAAGCGATGTGTTTGCCAACGCTCCTTTCCCACACGCCCCCCTCGTAGCACAGCAGCAGCTCGACGTATTCTCTCAGGCTCCGTTCGGAAAGAGAAAGGAGGCCGCAGGGGTGCAACCGAAGACCTCATATCCCCATGCAGCCGGTGTTCACGCTGTAACCTCTGATCAAGGTGTGTTGGGACAAGTTGCCCAGCAGCCCTTCCGCCCTCAAGCTCTGGCCAAATATTCCCGACACTTTGAGGGACCTTTGCCCCAGCAGCCGGTAGCAGCTCACAGGGTGGTGTCTAATGTGAGCAGGCAAGCCGCCGTGGCATCGGTCCCTGTTGGACCTCTTCACTCATGGACCTCAGAAGTGAGCGCTGTAGACCCCTTCGTCTCCGCACCCTTCCACCTCAAGGCCCCACAAGAGAAGCCCTGAATGCACACTCAGAGGTCGGGGCAGTGGGAATCGGCGCCACTAAATTATGCAAACTGTAACAGGCACGCTGCATGCTGACACCAGCGCTGCAGCTGGACTGCAGGCCCGCATGGATCTCCTTCTTAACTGGCTCCAATTAGATCTGATAGTGCAAAGTCATCTTTACTAAACTGACATCATTCCCACACTCCTTGTCACTTTTTTATTTTTCCGGCGATCTCCTTCCAGGTTTTGAATTGTCCTTAAACCTTCTGGTATACATCTCCACGAAGACAATATGGTGGTCAAGCATTTGATTGTTTTCTTGCCTACCTCAGTTACCTTTTGTGTCGGCGCTGAAACACCACACAGTGAGGGAGTTCGTAGATTGCAGCTTTGGCAGTTTTATTTTCCTGTACATTTGAGCTCAACTGTGAAACTATGATCTGAAAACGCCTCATTCCTCCGTTGTATGGGTTCTCAGAAAGGACAAATTTCAGCTTGAATCATAAGATTATAACTTCACAGAAGCTTGAAAGAGGAGAAGGACACCGTGTAGCACTAACATGGAGTGAAACAGTCTCCGCAGTCTTATGCGTATTCACATCAAACAAGAAGTATGTAAACCGCCTTACAGTGACACCCTCAGAGTCAATAGTTTTGGGCCTTTTGGTCTGTGAAGCAGATGCTGGATACTGTTGCATTTCAAGGATCACATTTGTTCATGTGAAATGTAAGGGTTTTTTTTGTTTGTTTTTTTTTCAATCCAAAATGTTTGCATTTTTGTCATGTGTATTATGTTTGTAGTCGCTGTCCTGTCTCATGAAAATGGAATACCAGTGTTTGTTCCATGTAATGTACGAACCTTATATACATGTTAGGCATAGAAAATTCATTATAGTGGCTCCTATGTTATATAAATGTCAAATATTCACTTTTCTTTTTACCTCCTTACTGTACAAGCTGACATCTCAGAAGCCTTACACTCTTCCAGTACTTCCCTCCTACCACATCAAACAGCATATATCACCTTTGCCTTTCGTGCCCTCCTGAAGAAAACTGCTGCATTTACATCATTTAATTGCACTCGCATTCAGCGCCAAATACCTGTGCTGTCTGCAGTACACATGCAAGAGTTCCATTCACCACCGTAATGCATCTCTATTGTAGACCTCTCTATGAAATCCAAATGCGTACTAACTGTGACACCCACAGTTCTGAGTAAATGAAACTTGACTGCAACTTTAAAAAATGCTTTCCTGCAGTCACACATATATCTACAGCACTTATGCTTGGATGGATTGTAATAGTAGTGTCGTGTAAGTGAGATCTTGAATGGTGTCTGAGGACATTCCTTTTTGAATTTATTTCCATCGCCATTTGGAAATATTTTATTGTCGTTGTACTTTGTGAAAATCATGGAACATGTTTTTGGTTCCCATCATGGCACTTTTAAGAAAGGGGATCCAACCTGTTTCAACCCAAAGTTTAAATTATGTATTCCTCTGTTGCAATGTCAAATCTTGTTTTCTTTTCTTTTTGAAGTGTACAATCTTTTTTTTTTCTTTTTTTTTTTAAACAATTGTTCACTTTTCGCACCCAAGTTGTCTACATGAAGATTGCACATAGTCACTGACACAGAGTCAGGGTTCTCTAAGAATGTGTTTTGTCTGTAACACAGCTGTACAATTATTTTTCGACCGGTGTTGTATAGGAAACCTTTGGAGGAACAGCAAATGACACTGTTGGACATAAAAGCACTCAAAATACTTGTTATGCTGCACAGCCTGCCTTTGAAAACTATGTTGTAAGTCATGAAAAAAACAAACTATTAAATGAATGTAAATTAAATTTTGTTTGCAGTTATTTATCATGATCAAAATGATAATTTTAGGAT